CATTCTAGTTGTCACTTCTTTGCTTCAAACCCAAGTATTCAAAATGTTACAACTATTTTTATTTTGAATAAATACCAGTTTTGTTTTTCTATTAAAAAAGATTTTGTGAGACAGGCTCAGAATTTGAGAATAATAGCATCATGTTGCATGTTGTGTCAGCTCACAAGTGACCTTTCAGACCACAACTTGTTCATGAGTTGGAGATCCTTTTGTCAGAAAGATGAAGCCAAATTGTCTTTTTTGACTTTGAGGGATGACCTTGTTCTTTTCTGTCATGAGGGACAAAGCATTTTCATTATTTTTTCCTACATGATGCTCCATTCATCTTATATTGTCAGCCCCAAAAGGGCAAGGGCAGCATTGGCCAGACTCAAATTGAATTGTGGCAAGTAGAATCATTGTAAATATTATTTTGACAATGATAATAAAGAATATATTATTGTCTGAAATTTTGGGTTACATGATTGACTTAGAATAGTTTTTTATAAATCTTTTCTATTTTCAGTTTCAAAAGTCACAGAACCCTGTTATTAAATGTCACTGTACTAAATTTAAAAGTTTCAGATTATGAATTTGTTCTTTGCATGAGCAAATATTATTGAAAGTAAGAAATGACTTTCCAGCCCTTATTTTGCTTTCTTTTTACCATCTACATAGATAATATTTAGGAGTTGTATTTGACAGTATTCCTCATAGCTATTTAATTTTGAATAAGCCATCAAAAGGTAATGAACTGATCATTATATAAAGTAATGACATTGTAAATGATAATAGGCAGTTGTTTAGGGCATGCTTTTCAGGACAAATATGCTGTAAATTTAATACTTTCAGCTTATATACTATTTTTTAAGGACTTGAAATTAAACTAGGTATATATAATGTTTATTAATCCAAATAAATGTTGTACATAGTAGTAAATGAGCAGGGATGAACACACTATGTGGTAGTGTTTTTTTTAAAAAAAAAAAAACCAAAGTCACTGCTGTTGAGTCGATTCCGACTCATAGTGACCCCTCCTTGGGTTTTGGAGGCAGTATCACTATGGAAGTAGATTGCCCAACTTTTCTTCTGAGAAGTGTCTGGTGGGTTTGAACTGCCAGCCTTCTGGTTAGCAGTCAAGTGTCTTAGGCACCATGGCACCAGAATACTCTCAGGGCTTTAATGACTAAAATAATTGTTTTGGACCATTGTATTCCCAGTTCTAGTAAGGCTTCATTCTCTGTGACCTTTTTTGTAGCAATTTACGAGAAAACAAACAGAAAAAGAAACCAAGGGATCAAGATACTGTAAAATCATATTTAATAAAACCCAATATTATTAGGAAAAAAATGTTCTTGGAAGATGTACCATTAGGAGTTTTATATTAATAAGTGGCAACTTTATAGTAACTAAGGGCAAAATAAATTTTCAACTCTAGACTTGTGTCCTGCAAGACCACTTGGAGGAACTTAAAGGCATGTAATTGAAATATTGTCTTCAAAGTAGAATCTAAAAATAATATGTGGTTTACACACAAGAGATGGAAATACAGATTGTATTAATTAATGCATATGTTATCTCTGAATCTTTGCTCTTCTAAACCAGTTTTCCTTAGTTTACGATGTTACAGCTATCACTAATAAACATGAGCATGTCATGTTTTAAAAATACTTGCACTGTTGCCTAGAACTGTCTTTCTCTTTCAACTTTGTCATTCATAATTTGAAACCTAAACATCTTCCTTGAGTATACCATTCATCCATCTATTCATGAGTTCAGTACACAGCAAGGTACTGAATGCAGAAATAGAGAGTGGCTTGTGCAATGCAAAGACAGAGTGGCTTGCCATTTTAGAGGGTGGAGATCATAGTCATGCCTTGAACTACATCCTAGAAAGTGGTATTCTCCATTAAGATCTACAAGTTAATACTTACTGTGTATCATTTATTAGTTATGAGAAGTACCCTTAACACTCTCTGTATCTATTGAAATTGGAGTTACCATTTCTCAGTGGCTTCAATCTCTCATTCACTTCACTTTTTTTTTTCATTCTCCATTTGTGTACTTAGGCACACACTGGGTCTTTAAAGATGAGTTAGAAACATCTCAAATAGAAAGACACAGGTAAATAAAGTGCTTGAAGTGATAACTTACTCTCCATATGGCATGGTCAAAGTACCCTTGGAGCCCAGTCATTGATTCTGTATAGACCCAAGAATGAGAGAAGGAAGGGGTAGAGTTAGAGAATCTTCTAAAGGGCCAATCTTTGAGCTTTTTAAAACTGTGATGACAGTTTGTATGGTTCTTAACCTTACCAGCTTCTATGAAGGAATGAGTTTTCATGGGTGATACAGTTTAATTCTTAGAATTTTGAGGACCCTCTTAAAATAGTATTACCAATCATAAAGCAGCCCAACTGTTTAAGACAAGAACATCTAACAGTATTGGCCATGCCCTCATTCATTCACTTAGTGATTAATTGTTGGGCTTATGCTTTGTGCCAGGCTCAGTGCTGAATCAGGTATCCAGGTAAGACCAACACAGTCCTTACCTTCATGGAACTTAGTCTGCTGAAACAGGCATCAATCAAAAAGTAAATGGTCTATGTAAGTACTGTATGGCACTATGAGTGTGTATCATGGAGAGAGACATTAAGGAAAGTTTCTTTGAGGAAGTGACAACAGCCTTATCTGTAGGATGAATATGATTTAACTTGGTGAGGAGAGGAAGGAAGAGTATTCCATTCAGTGGTACAATCATAGACAAAGTCCTGTGTGGGAGAGAACATAGCAAGGAAGATATTAAAAGAAGGCCATTGTGGCTGGAATACAAAAAGTAGGGTTTGGGAGATTCAGGGTAAGGCCAGAGAAGAGGGCAGAGGCTTACAGATAGTGATTTTTGTATTATTCTCAGAGCTTTAACCTATTTAAGCAGGAGGATGACATATCAGATGTACATGTTGAAAGGACCTCTCAAACTGTTGTGTGGGTAATGGATTGGTGAAGAACGTGAGATAGGAGCATAGACCTATTAGGAAACTGCTAGAGAAGGGCAGACAGAAGGCATGGGTGGTGACAGCAGTGGAGATGGTGAGAAGAGAATGAATTCAAGGTAGAAAATATGATCACTGTGATGTAGTGATGGATTAAATACATGGAGGAGGGACTATATAGATGAGCCCTAGGTTTTTGGCTCATACAATTGATGGTCAGTACTGTCATTCAACACAATAGAAAATATTTCTCTATTTAGGGAGGCTGTACGTGGAGAAAAAGGATTAAATGCCTATTTAATCCACCACTAAGTTTTGCAGTCTTGATTGTTACCTGTGTTTGCCCAGTGAGATAATGGAAATTCTGAGAGGTTAGTGTCTTGACCAAGGCCACACTGCTAATAAGGGGTAAGGGTTCAAACTCACGTCTCATGATGCCAACCAGGTTCAGTGCCTTTTCCTACACTCCAACCTTTATACTTGGCTAGAACCTTGGATGACACCAACATTTAAAAGGATGACCAAGAAAGAAGGTCCAGAGAAGGCTGGGAGGATATGAGAGAACTAGTAGAAGATTCCAGAGAGTATAGATCCCTGAAAGGGAATGTGGATGTGGTGAGCTTAGTGAGAACAGTGACACAAAACAGAGGAGGCTGGATTAGAAGGGGTGTAAGGCAAGAGAGAGGGTGAAGAAGGGAAATTGTGAGTGACACTGCTGTGTTCAAGAAGGTGATGAGGGGAAAGAGTGGGCATGTGGCAGTGAAGGAGGGATTCATGGGAGCCTTGGGAGTTTGAGTGTTCTGTGTGGGGTAAGAGTTTCATGTAGAACAGCACTGGGAGGTCCAGGCACTTGGAACTCTACTGGAGACATCAGTAGTGTAGTGTTGAACCACAAAGTTTGTGTGAGGTTAAGGTAATTTTATGACAGTAGAAAGGCAGTTATGGGTACAAGCTTGTTTTGAAATCTTTTAAAGTGTAATTAATCTATCGTCTATTCACTTGTTGATCCCTTATCAGAGAGATCCCTGAAGGTTATATGAAGTAATCTATTACTGTATACAGACTCTTTATTATTTTCCAAGCAAGCATTTTGTAGCATATCAGTATGAGGCCATATGGTATTTATGGTTATAGTTAGACAATGACATCATAAATTAGTGCTTTTCTAAAATTTTCTAAACAGGTTACTCTGTAGTTATTTTCATCTATCTGATGCACTTTGGGTTATGTTTTCTGTCCTCTGTTTTGATCTCTCATGATAATTTTGTTTTGAGATCATAAAAGCGCTTTTGACTTCTCTAACAGCCCATTATTTATTGGCACATTTTGATTTTTGACAGATTCATGTGCTCCTCTAAGCTTTTAGAATATATTTTCAACAGTAGCAATAACTTACTTTTGTACTTTGGGTTGTGTCTCTACAACCCAACTGTCACTATCAGCAACAACATTATAAAATTCACTTCTGAAATTCTGGGCTTTTAAAAAGCATGTAGTTAAACCATTTCCTATCATTTTCTTTTGATATCAATTGCAAGTTGATTTCAGCGTAAACCAAAAACCAAGCTCACTGCCATTGAGTCGATTCCGACTCATAGCGACCCCTCCTTGGGTTTCCAAGGTTTTATCTCTACAGAAGTAGATTGCCCAATCTTCCTTCTGAGGAGTGGCTGGTAGGTTTGAACCGCCAGCCTTCTGGTTAGCAGTCAGATGCCTTAGGCACTACATAGTATTTAATAAAGGGCTCTGGTGGCATAACAGATAAGGCTTTGGCTGCTAACCAGAAGCTCAGCAGTTCAAACTCACCAGCTGCTGCATGGGAAGATGAGGCAGTCTACACCCCTAAAGATTTACAGCCTCAGAAACCCCATGGGTCACTCTGAGTCAGATAGCGTTTATATTTTGTGTATGTTGAGGTACATTATCTTTGTTGTTGGTGATGGTGATTGCGTCAAGTCAGTGCTAACTCATGGCGACCCCGTGTCAACCCCATGTGTGCAGAGTAGAACTACCCCACAGGTTTTCAAGGCTGTGGCCTTTGAGAAGCAAATCGCCAGGTCTATCTTCTTCTGAGTGGGTTCTTCTGGGTGGGTTCAAAGTGCCATCCTTTCTGCTAATGACCAAGCACTTAACTCTTTGTGCTACCCAGGTACCTCTCCATTTTTGTGTCCTTAATGACTCAAGTGTTAACTATAAAGGGGAGAATCACTGTGCTTTGTTCTTACCATAAATTCTTTTGAGCTGCCAAAGGATGACTGATTTATGCATATTTTCTGGTATTAAATCCAAGTTCTGCCCAGCCCTTAAAAAAATGTTTCTGAAACCAATCAGTCTATAACCATTAACCCCAAAACAAAACCAAACACACTGCCATCAAGTAGGACCTAACTCATAGTGACCCCTCCTTGGGTTTCCGAGGCAATATCACTATGGAAGTAGATTACCCAAGCTTCCTTCCAAGGAGTGGCTGGTGGGTTTGAACCACCAGCCTTCTGGTAAGCAGTCAAGTGCCTTAGGCACTATGCTACCAGAGCTTCCCTATAACCATTAGGTAGGGACAAATGCTAAACCTAATTCCAAATGGTATGAAAGTAAAGGAAGGCGGAAATTGTCATAACAGTTATATGCGTAGCTTTAGGGAGAGTCTGTTGTTGTTGTTGTGTGCTGTCGAGTTGGACACGACTCATAGCCACCCCTCTTTGGGTTTCCGAGGCATTATCACTATGGAAGTAGATTGCCCAACCTTCCTTCCGAGGAGTGGCTGGTGGGTTTGAACCACCATCCTTCTGGTTAGCAGTCAAGTGCTTTAGGCACTGAGAGTCTAGTCATTAAATAAAATCTCACCATTGGCTGCTTTATAAGAAGACTGCTCTTGTGCCATATACTGTGCTTGGCCCTGGGGACATAGTAGTGAAAACATAGACACAGTCCCTATTTTTTGAGGACTTAGAGTCTACTGAAGTCTTCTTATGGCAGTATAAGAAGCTCTGGTGGTATAGTGCTTAAGGCATTACCTGCTAAACAGAAGGTCAGTGGTTCAAAACCACCAGCTGCTCCATGGAAGAAAGATGAGGTAATCTGCTTCTGCAAAGATTTACAGCCTTTGAAACCCAATGGAAGTTGCTGTGAGTCAGAATCGACTCAATGACAGTGAATTTGGTATTTTTGGTTTTTCAGGCAGTTTGTCAAAAAAAGATAAACCATGCATAATAACCAATAAGAAATGTGTTCCTCATTTATAATTGCACACACGTTTATTGAGTAACTGTTGTGAACCAGGCACCTACATGGGGAGTTACTATAGCTGTGCACGTGGTAGATACAGTCCTCATCTCTCAGAGCTTTTCAGCCCATGCCTTTGTTTATATATATATCACTGGGTCATTCTTCACATTTTGTCTCATATTTTGGTAAATTCCACAGCTTTGGAATACATATTTGTAATACTCATTGGACCAAGATACTGATAAAGTATAGGAAAGATTGACTCTCTCAGAAATACATAAAATTACAATGTGACAACAGGCTCTAGCTTACAAAGTGTACTTCCTATTCACGTTCATTTTTCCTAGTTAATAGTAGTTGATAATAATCAGTGTGGCTGATGTGATTCTTATCCTATATTCTGTATCATTTCTTACAGTTATTGCCAGTTTTCGAGGAACTGTCCCATATGGCCTCTCTTTGGAAATTGGAGATACAGTTCAGATCCTGGAGAAGTGTGATGGTAAGTGGGCTAGTGGTCATTGTTTGAGGTTGTTTGAACAACCTCCTCAACACTCATAAAGTTTACAGGTTCTGCCCATACCTCTATTCATGTCTGGAATTTTTTCTAGTCATAGAGAATCATTTTAACAAAACTTATTTCTTGTATATTCTATGTTTGATTCATGAAAAAAGCATCATTTGGTATTTTTAAGCTGAATGCATTTTTTCCCTTATATTATTTCCTTGTATTCAGTAGATGCCAGTAGAAAGGAGTTGAGGCTGCTGTATTAGTGGGAGTTCTTGCCTCAGTGCCAAACTTGAAAGCTTTAGTCAGACTCGCAAGGGGGTGTAGCCAATGTCTGTGGAATAGGTTCTGCTTTTATAGAGGAAGACATGAATGCCCAGAGCAGAAGTGGTCATGGGGAAGTACTCCTGTCCAGGGCAAGTCTAGTCAATAGAGTCCTGTAGCCTTTTCCTCTCAGAACTAGATTAAAAAAGAGTCATTGCATCCTTAGGGATTTCATGTTAGTGAAATATATGAACTTCTATGATTATAACTTTTTGTGTTAGCTTACTCGTTAAATCCACATACTAATAGGTTCTCAAAATGTTTCTATTCCTGTTCCGTGAAATATTCAGACCTTAAAAAGATCCCAGATAAAATACTCTTTTTTTCCTAACATTTTTTAATGGAAAGATTAGATTTTAAGGTCCAATTAATATTTTCAAAACTAACCATTTTCCTAAAAGATTTTTCTTAGTAAGAATTTAAAATAGGATTACATGGTCCATTATGGATAATTCTGTTTCCCTAAACAGAGCATTATATTTAGTAAGAGCCTGGCATTAAATGGTGACTTTTTAACATAGATCTTTATTTTTTCTACTGTAAATTCGATATCTTTAAAAATATATTAAGTTTTTCTATATCATTACCAAATGATATTATATTGTGCAAGGATGAATATGAAATTTGGTGCAGGATAACATGCTCCATAATAATGGGAGCTTTTTTATATCTGAAATTTTTCAGTATGGTACCATTGGAGAAGGCTTTCCATGATATTTCTTCATTCTCAAAAAGTTTTGGCTGCTGTTAGAATAATTACTGACTTTTTCTTGTTTATTAATCAACATTTTTCTCATATGATTGGGGGTATAATAAATCCTGAGATACAGAGATTTCCAATTCTCAAATTCATACTAATTCTTCAGACTCATTTTAAAATAGTGTTGTGCTAAAGCCCACCCCACTGCAGTCAAGTCAATTCCCATTCACATCCACCCTGTAGAACAGAGTAGAGCTGCTCGTGTGGTTTCCAAGGCTGTGACAGAAGCAGACTGCCACATCTTCCTCCGGTGGAGCTGCTGGGGGATTTGAACCATTGGCTTTTCAATTAGCAGTAGAGCACTTAACCACCATGCCACCAGGGCGCCTATAAAAGTATTAGGCTTGCTGTAATACAATATATCCTTTTTAGAAAAGGAGCTCTGGTGGCACAGTGGTTAACGCATATAAACATTCTATGCGTAAAGATGGTGAGTGTTGGCATTAAGCTAGACTATAAACCAAAACCAAATTCACTGCCGTGGAGTTGGAACCGACTCATAGTGAGCCCTCCTTGGGTTTC